CAAGCTTTTACGTACAAAATAGAACATGTTCCCCTCTCCTTTTACTAATTTGGGAGTGTCACCTCAGTGGTTTAAATATATCTTAATTTCCTCATTTTAATTCCCAATATATATTTATTTTAATTAGTTATAATAATAATCATTCCCTAAAAAAAGAATTATATAACATTGTACTTTTCAGTCAGATTCTGCAGTATATTTTCCCCCTTTACTTCCATAGAGTTTTATTTATAATACCAAAAAAAAGAAGAAGAAGAAAAAGCGATTAATCCATTTAGCTAGTCCTGGTCACTGATATTAATCTCATTTTAAAACATCCTTACAATTCATTTCAATTATTTCAATATATATATAATAAACATTGACCTTTCTTGTAACAATAAAAATAAGAACATGCATTCATCTAATAAAAAAAAAATCAGTGCTTTCCCCTCCTCTCAATGGTCTATATTCCCCTATTTTCTAGATAACTTGTAATTGCAAATATATTCTTATTACCCCTCATATCAGTGTGGAATCCCCTTTCTTAATCCATTAACCATTATCCCTATGTATTCTAAATAAACAATTTTTTCCATTATTTTACAATTCCCATATTTCTTTCCTTCCTGTTCCTGTTCCTCATTACCTCTCTTCCCTTTTATTTTCCCAAATCTTTTCTCCGTCTGATTTATATCCCTCTCCCTCTTTATATCTTCCTTCCCCTTCTTATTTTTCTGCTGTTTCTTCCTGTCTTTCCCACTTTTACAGGTATTCCCCTTTTTAGTTACTTTTTGGAATCTCCTATTTTTAATTTCTTTTTCCTCCCCCTTCTTTTCCCTCCTCTTTGTAATGTTCTTTGTGTTGATTGTCTATTTAAGATGGCTTCTTCTTGATCTAACTCCTCCTTCTTTGAAGTTTCTTCTTCATGTTCTTCAATCGCCATTTCCATAGCTTTTAACACCGAGCAAAATGATTCGCCTCTTGCATGTAGTAGTTCTTTCATATTTTTAAGCATCATTTTTAATTCCCACAGAAATATCATCGTTGCACACTCTTATATCTTATAGTTTTTAAAATCCACCAAGCTTCTCTTTTTCTTTTTTCTTCTTCAGGTTTTCTGAATTCACAACTATTCCAACACTGGGTTTATACCAAAGTCACCGATTAGTCCAACAATTTGTCTTTTCTTACTTTTTCTTTTATTCTAGTTCAGCTTTCACTTTCGGAGTACTTGTTTTGTTGTTTCAATATTTCCTTTTCATTGTATCGAATCAAGTTCATAGAGAAACAGGAATTTTTTCTTTATATTTTCCAGTTTAAATTTTGGCCACAAGATGGCACTTTCCATTATACAAAGTCCTCCCCCTCCCCCCCATTTTATTGTTGAGGGCTTTCCGAGCCTCAATATTCCAAAACAACCAAGTCTCCAATTTGTATATCTCTCCCTTCTTTTTAATACTCTTAAATCCAGCTTTAATTTATGCCTGTTTGTTGCCCATATATTTTAATTCAATTTATTTAAGTTTCTTGTTTCGGCTTCTTCCTCTCCCGGTTCGAAGCCCCATTCAGCTGTCAGAGTTATTCTCTCTCTCTCTCTTTTTTTCCCATCCCTTTATAATTCCGCTGCTTTCTTTTCTTTCTTAAAAATTCTTAAAGCATCAATCTTGGGGTACCTTTTATTTAGTTGTTGCGCCAAATTGTCCCGGTTCTTATGTTGTCCACCTCCTTCTTCTCTCCTGAACAAATCTTAATCCAGCTAAATCCTCCTCTTTAGGGTGGTCATTTTGGACCACCGCTCGGTCGTCTTTGGGGGGAAAAATGCCAAGCCCAGAGGAGGGAGATGCAGCTCTCCTCAACCTGGCTGGTGGCTTTCCCTTACTCCACTGCCCCTCCAAGGCAGGTTCAACCCATAACCATGGTGATTGGGGCTCTCTGATGAAAGAACATGGACCGAGGCCAGACAGTTGCGGTCCCCGGTCCATCGGCAAGGAGGGCTTAACCCGGAAGTCCCATAAATTGTGCACTTTGATGTGCATGTTGATGACCCTCTACACCCGACACACTTGGACAGGGCTCAGTTGGCCAGGCATCAGGCCACTGCCTGGCAGAAATCACTGAAACATCCGCTCCAGTGTCTAAAATTCCCCCAAAGGGTTTATCCTGCAACACAATGATCTGACGGGGCCATTGAAATGTAATCGGCAGCTAGTGATGGCAGCTATGATGGAAGCGGCCAGGTCAGTAGAACCAAAACCTCCTTCACCTCTCTCTTTTGACTCTCCCCCTGATGGGACAAAATAAGGCAAATGCAGGAGTTGAGCAGGGCTAGAGTAAATGGGCAAAATTTGAGGAAAATTAATCCACAATTGGACATAAATGATTCCAGTATAATCAGAATCTATCACTCCTGGGATAACAAAAATACCTTTTTTACCCATGCTGGACCGGGGAAGGACAAGCTCCACATAATTTTGTGGCAGGGGGCCTGATAATTGTGATGGAACTATTTGAACCTCCCCAGGAAATTTAAAATTCACTTCATCCTGCAGTATTAAATCAATACCAGCACTACCTCTTGTAGCAGCAGGAGTATTTTCTATTGTTGATTTATTGCCTCTGTTTGGACTGGGGCCAGAGACTGGCCTGGTCGGCCATTTCCTGACCATCATTCCTTTGCCCAGTGATAACCCTTCTGACACTTGGACATTTTGTTTTTGGTCTTATTTTCAACTCTTGTGTTCCTAAATTATGACGTCCCCATTTAAAATGACCAGGTTTACCACATTTGAAACCCTTTCTTTTAGACTTGCCGTCTTGAGACAAAGCAGCTATAAACAAGCTGCCTTGAGATAAAGCAGCCGCCAGCAAATTAGTTTGATAAGAAGCTGTTCCTACATTTTGACATGCTTTAATCATTTCCGCCAAATCAGGGTTAGCTCTCAGACCAATAATTGCCCTTCTACATCAGAAGTAGCATTTTCCTTTGCCAGCTTCATTAATAACTCCTGCTGAGCCTCAGGATTGTCTATCTGCCGCCCGTAAAGCATCCTGTAATCTGTTTATAAAGTCAGGATATGGCTCAGTAGCCTTCTGCCTGATATTAGAGAAAGCTTGATGAGGCTTGCCAGAAACCGGCACTTTTGAAAATGCTCAATAAGCACATTCTGAAGAAATCTGTTACGTGGTACCTGGTAAAACAGTTTGAGCATCAACTGGAGCAAAATTGCCAGATCCATACAATTGCTCAGGAATGAAAGCCCCCCCCCCCCCCCCCCGAATGCTGGGCACGCACAGCACATTGATGTCTAAACTCACTGTCCCAAACCACATATTGAGCTAGAGTAAGCAACATAGGAAAGGAAGTTTTCCAATCTTCAGGTACTAAAATATGAATTCTTATAGTAACTTCTAACATTCCTTGAGCAAAGGTACTTCCCAACCCCATATCTTTAATTCCTTTTCTTAGTTTCTGTTAAAATTGCATATGACAGAGGGTGATATTCTACTATTTGAGCTCCATTTTGATCTACTTGTCCCGTGGCATGCACTGGACACACAGAAAGCATTTCTGCTATTTCTTCTACACACACACACACACACACCCTTTGTCTAATTGTTCTTCCAATATTTTCCTTATGGGGGTGTACCCTGGCTGTGAAGCAGCAAAAGATATAATCTCTTCAGAAGGAGCTGTAAGTCCAATTGAAAATGATTTTGGGGAGATAATTTTTACCCGATCATAACCAGGAGGGGGCTGGTAGTTAATCGTTGCCCCATTGAGACATCGGAGCCAAATTGTTCTACTGCTTGATGGCATTAATACCATCAATGTAGTATTTGAACCGGAGCCCTGGGTTCAAGATGTAAAGTATGCCCTATCTTTATCCAATCCTGTAACCTGAGCGTCCCACGCTCAGGGTACTAGGGACAAAGCTTTCCTATCTCCCCAATCGGCTTTTTTATGTCAGCCTCAGGTACTTTTGCATCTGATTTATGTAACAGGAATTTAAGTTCCTGAGCATGTTTCTGCTGGTGATGAGATAGATTGCAGCCCATACTTACCTCTGATTGGTCCCGTAGGATATCATGCGCACCTTAGGTTCCAGATGAAGGCAAGTATGTTGGTAGCTGTGTCCCTGTAGGGTAATGTCCCTGGTCGGGCGCCACTTGTGGGAGTTCAATAATCAGTCATTTCAGTGTGCAAAGATGTCTGACCACATATGTGGCGCTTATTATTTTTATACTATTTTTACAAGCAAAGAAGAGTAACATAGATACAGTATTTGGATTGGAGAATAGAAACCACATGGGTGAAACCTGCCAACCACATTGGTACAACTTCCCAACTAATCCTTAAGACTAGTGGTGATGTTAGTAAATGAGATCTTCCATAAGTCTGGGACTTTTCACCTTCACCAAGATGCACCTTCACCAAGATAAGTAATGAGATCATGCAAATAGCAAAAGAGGCCCATATAGGCATCAGACACTGCAGTTTGCTGCTAGCATCCAGCGCCATCTATAGGATCTCAGTAGCTACTACAAAAGAGCTTGACCCCTTCCTCTCTGTGGCTCAAATATCGGAATACTGCTATCATGTCTTCTCTGGTCCTTCTCTTCATTTGACTTGCCATCCCCAGTTCCTGTAACAATTCTTCATATATTTTATAAAAGGTTGGGGACAGGAGGTCTACAAAGAGTAGCTTGATGTCATGACAGTAGGAGTAGAGCATGGCTCCATGCGCATTCATTCCAGAGACATCCGGTTGGGAGAGAAAAAGTGTGGGGCTAAGAAACATGTTGGACTGATCCAGAAGGAAATACTCTTTTAGTTGCCTGAGGTTGGTCAACAGTTGTAGAGAAGACCTCTTGACTTCCAGGAAGTTCTGAAATCCAGCATTTCTTAGTTTGGGTTCCCCACCCAGGGGAAGACTGTCCCTCCTACTTAACACTTAGAAATAAGATTCTTCAGGATGTCTTGCCTCCACACTGACTCTATACCGTCCCCTTCCCTGTAGCGAGCCTCCCCTCGCCCATGACGCTACAACAACTTGAAGTGCCCATCATTGGTCTGGACACCTGCAGGTGCTTGTACAGAAGGAACCCAGATCCTGAGGATTCCCACACCCTCCACCGTGACATGATCTGTGCCGGTTTTGTAGAAGGCAAGAAGGATGCCTGTCAGGTGAGGCCACTGGGAGGACGTTAGGGGTGCTGTTAGTTGGCCAAGTGAGGTGGTAGTGATGGCAGTAGGATGCCAGGCCCTGAAAGCCATCCTCTGCAGGAGTTATCGGACATTTTATGAGGATTGCACAAGAAAGCATTCCTTTATTAGAGGAGGCTAATAAAAACAGTTGGGTTTTCCAGTGCTTTAGGCTAGACCAGTATTTCTCAACCGTAGCAACTTTAAGATGGGTGGACTTCAACTCCCAGAATTCCTGGGAGGCTGGGGAATTCTAGGAGTTGAAGTCTACTCATCTTAAAGTTACCAGGTTTGAAAATCACTGCTATAACCTCTCTCTGTTTCTGACTCCTGTTCATATTATCAGACAGTATGCTTATTGGATTTTCTACTACTTTTCCCTTTGCAAACTCTACCACCCCTCAAAAAAACCCAACCGTTACATGTCTTTAATTCCTTTTGTTTTTATTTTTAGGGTGATTCCGGAGGCCCCCTATCCTGTCTCGTGGACAATGCCTGGTTCCTGGCTGGTGTTGTGAGCTGGGGATACAGCTGTGGGGCTGCCAACAGACCTGGTGTTTACATCCGACTTCCTTTCTATGCTGACTGGATTAAGGAAAACGTTCCAGAAGTGCAGCTTCAGCAAGTGACAGTCCCTACAAAGGCCACCCTAGGAGAGGCCTTGTGCTCCAATTCTACAAGAGAAGGAGGCGGCACCTATGATGACATCCAGCCCTTACCAGGCTGGAACCGGCCCCTCGACCCAAACAAGAGCCCTCCCAACTATTCTGTTTCCCTAGCCTACAGAGTTGGCCTACCACTTCTTCTTCTCCTCCTCCAGGCCTGCCTGTGGTAACTTTCCACTCCCACCCTGTTGTGCAGGGAAAGTGGTTGTCTTCCTGTTTTATCCTCCTGGTGATGGTCTCCCTATTTCATAGTCTGCTGTGCTTCAAGCTTTCTCTTTCCACACTGGGTGCAGAGAAGACAGCGTGATTCGATTAGGACGTGGTACTGTTCTGCCGAAGCCCGAACTGCCTCACAGGTGGTCATCGAGTGTGTATTTTGTAAATCTACCTGTGGTCTTGGCCTAGCGTATGGCTTTTGAAAAACTTCACTGCTTCACTCCTATTCCTGACTTTTACTCCGAGGATCTAATTCATAATTATCTGGGAGTGTCTCTTTTTTTGCCTCTTTCCCTGCGACTTGCTTGGCCTTTTTTTTTTTTTTTTTTAAATCATAGTTGGGATACAAATCTGTAATAAACCTGCTTTGTTACTGTGGACATAATTTCATAAGTCAGAGGGAGTCTAGTCTCCTTTTTAGGCAAATTCCTGAACTGCATTTGGATATGACTAATCTCTCTGTTGAGTAGTTGGCATCCTTCTCCAATTGCATTCCTCACACGTTTTGAAACGTGATCGGTTTCAAGGCAGGTTCCTCTCTGTCCAGTTCCTCCTTTCCTGCTCATAATGTGAAATTCTCTTGTAGCCTTCCTAACAGTTGTTGTGAAGACAAGGTCCTCCACAATAGTTGGACGTTATTCAAGGACCAAAGTTGAGCCCTTTGAAGAGTCAGTCAGCTGAATCCTTTCTTCCTTATGGATCGAATTGAGATCTGATGTCTTGCCCAACAGGACAATTCAGAGAGCAGCATAATGTGTCCTAACCTAATTTCTCTCTCTTAAAGATCAGTACCTTGCCAAGTATAGATAATGCCATTAGTTAACTTGGATTGATGGGAGGATTTTTACAGGGTTGGTAGTTCTACTGTCTTAGGCTGTCATGGTCTCAGCTTATGTGAAACAGGTCAAGGTAAGTACAATGCAACCACCGAGTTGTGGAAAAGGGATATATATTCTATAGGATCCCTTCCACCCATGTTTGGTTTACTTGACCCTCGTTTCTCCATCTTCTGGGCTCCCTATGTCACTTAGTATTTACCCACCCCTCCTTCTGGCTCACAGGCTGAATAAAAGGAGACTCGGCAGAGGTAGAGACTTTGAAACCAACCTGTTGCCTTTTGATCTTGGGCTGGGTGATCAGGCCCCTTCTGTGTGCTGCTAGCCTTGCAATTTTGCCTGATTTAAGTTGAAATTGTATAGGGGTGGAAATGTAACCTCTGGATGTTTCCGTTGCATAATTTATGAATCCTTCCAAGGTGGGATGAGGGCAGAGTTTCTGGGCTGTGTGTACACCTCAGTTCGGAGATACCATCAAGTTTTCATTTTGTGACACCAACTGTCAGCCTGACAGATTTATGGAGCAGCACGGAATCCAGTGAAGGAGATGAAGAGGACCGCTTGTTTCCAAGTACGTTTGGACAGAAATAACTCCTAGCACGGATGCAGAATTAAAAGAAGTGGGACTTGATCGAAATTCAATGAGGATCGAAACTGCATTCTTTGGGGGAAAGAGGATTGCGACTGTATTTAGATAATTTTATGTTTGCAACACACTTTTTTTTTTAAAAAAGTAATGTATGCATCATCTTTTAAGGAAAGATTAAAATCAGTTGCTGCTTTTGAAATGAAGGGTTTTAATAAACAGTAATTCTACACTAATACGGCTTTTATTTATTACCAAAGGGAAGCTTTGTGGACTTTAATTTCCCAAGAAATGTCAAGGTGGAACTAGGGAAAATTTAACAGATAGTGAAGCATTTGCTTATGAGCATTAAGATCTACAGGTAGAATTCTCCAGAAGACATGCAGGAAGTACCAGGATCTGCATTGCCTACAGCTGAGCATACTGACTCATGCAATTGATCTTGTCACATGAGCTGTGCAATGAATACGTGGCATGAGTTGGTCAACAGTCTGGGATTATGATAGGTGTGCAATTCTTATACAAAACTCTCACCGGACCCAAGCCGATCAAGAAAAACAACCCAGTCATATTGAGGTTGAGTGTGTTAGTCAAACCTTGTGAAAATGAGGAAGAGATGCATTCGTAAACCCCTTCACAACAAGGGTAAGAAGTGTGAACTACCTGTTACGAAAAGGACATAGTTTCTGTGACCTAAGCATACTGATACAAATCGGTCTTCATGTTCTGCTATAGGTTTGTTCCTCCTTAGAAGGATCTTTTCTCTAGTTTCCCAGCGCTGTTCCTTGTCGCTGGCAGTTTTTTCACTGTGCCACCATTAAGGATCAGCTGTAGTTCTTGTAAATAAGTCATAAAAATGGCACAGCACATGGGTTATGTTTTTTTTATTAAAATATTTTTTAAGCAGAACACACTATATATATATGGTATACACAATAAAAACTACAGCAACTATGTGACTAGATGTTTCTACCCAAGACATCCACAAGCTTCAGCCTCCCTCCCAAAATCACGGTCCTCAGGACTGAAAGTATGCGAGGACCTCAGCGGAAACGGGTGGTATGGAGACCGGCAAGTTTTTCCTCTTCGGTCCACTTGATCGCTTCAAGAGACTTTTGATCTTTTGGAAAAGTCCCTTCTCATTTGATCACCATCAAATGCGGTTCATACGATGGAAGGGGAAATGTTGAGTAATATCCTACAATATCCTTCTAGAAAAACTCCCAATCCGGAGTTTGTCTGTTCATCTGGGTAGCCATTTAGAAGGGCACCTAAGTTAAAAGCATGTTTTTTCCTACCCTCGTTCAGCATTTTGTTCCCAGAGAGAACCATTTCCTTTGAGGCTCTGCAAAAGGAATTAGTTAATTCCTTTTAGTAACATCATATAAGCAACACTGCACTATGGAATAGCCTTTTTATAGGTGCCTATTTCCACTTTTTCCTGAGTCTTAACACCCAAATCCTGACTCTCATGCTGCTGGCTACTCAGCTTTCAACTCTAAGAAAACTTATTTTTTGGGCAGCATTGAACTTAAAAATTGACTCTGGAGCCAGTGATACTACTTCAAAACACACTCTCTCTCTTTTCCCACATTGGTAATAGCTATGTGACAGTGGAAGGATTCAAGCTGCTTATCTAGTATACCTAAAAACATGCTTTGATAGAATGTCCAAAGTACTTGCCTCTTTTTGAAGATACGGAGAGTGACAACAGATCTACCAAGAGACTTAAGAGAATTTACAGAAGACACATTTTCCCCCAAAATTTTGAACCAGGCTGATTGTTCAATGTTTCAATGTTGGAGATCTCCAGCATCTCTTTTGGAGAAGTCAATCCTCCTTCCTAGCTTAGTCAATAATCTAGTTTTCAGTATTACTGATAGTAAATGGTGCCTCCAACTTGTGTCGACCATTTGCTGCTCAAATATCCAATCCCTGTGTTTATTTACTGCTCAGATCTTGTTCTACCATAATTCTGCCATATTTAATCACCTGTTAGAACTGTCAATAAGAAATAATAGAATGATTTATCTGCTCCTTTTATGATCAGAATGAAGATACCACTTCTATTTTAGAGAAGACACCAGGTTTGGCAAGAAAGGAAAAAAAAACAGTTCTATATGCAGCAACAGAAGAAAAAAAAAAGGGGGGGGGGGGGGATAAATAAGTAGTTCTTCATTCAAATGAACCCACCTAGGCAGAATTGCTGCAAACTCAAAAAACACCTGTTTTCAGGTGTTTCTCATAACCCCAAACTACCTGTTTCATGTATGTTCTTTCAGTACAAGACTGACAGCAATGCTAAATTACTGAACATATTCTAAAATAAAAAAAAGCAGATGTGGAGCCAAAACCTTTCAGTTTTTCAAGACAGTTTTTCCTTCACTTCTTGGAAATCTTGGCTTGCTTGTGTTTAGGAGGGGCCCATCTCAGGCAGAGAGAATCCACTGGAGAAAAGAGGGAGGAAAAAGGAAATAAGAAAACTTGGTAGGGAGGGTAAGGGGAAAAGAGCAGAGCAGTCAAAGCCCATCACCATCTCGAATGGGCATGGATGTCCCCGCCTCAACTGAGAATGCTGAAGAAATTGAACAGGTTGACCAAAGTGAGTACTAGAGAAAGCACAACAGATACCCACCCTGAATAAAATTATGCCTTGGGTTGGTAACATCAAAAACAAATGCAGGCTTGACTTACAACCATTCAGTGACTGAAGTTACAACAGCATTAAAAAAAAAAAGACCTATGACCATTTTTCACACTTACGATGGTTTCAGCATTCCCACAATCACCTGAACAAAATCTGGATGCTTGGCAGCTGGCTCATATTTATGACGGTTGCAGTGTCCCGAGGTCATGTGATCTCCTTTTGGAACTTTCTGACAAGCAGAGTCAACGGAGAAGACAGATTCACTTAACAACTGCAGTGATTCATTTAACAACTGTGTCAAGAAAAGCTGTGAAATGAAGCCAAACTCACTTATGTTGCTTGGCAACATAAATTTTGGGATCAACTGTGGTCCTAAGTTGAGGACTACCTGTAAGTGCCATATCAGATTCATTTTAGATTTAATAGATCCTTGCTGGCCATTCAGGCCATCGTGCAAGAGTTTATGCCTTGTTTGTACCAGCTTCACATCTCTTCAGCTCTGCCCAACAGGCAGCTCCTGACCCAGCCCCCCCCCTTCTGAAAAGGAAAGAGATTTGTGAGGGGGTCCAAATAATCTCCCTGGAGCTCCTGTTATATAAATGACATGTTTAGGTAACAGGAGCAATGTCATCAGCCCCCTGGGGGAAAAATAATAATGCCCCTTTCAGAAAGAATTGGCAACATCTAATTTGTTCCAAGATGACTCTTAATAGACACTGGGCATGGTTGCCAATAAATTGAAAGCAAGTTATGTGGCATTTAAATGTTTGCACTCATAATATACAAATATTTGAGTTTCTTTGCGTTTTATGTATATTGGCAAGGGAGGACAGACAACGCTTTCTGCCTAAAACAACCTTGTTCTATGAATGTCCATCACTTGAAACACGCTTCAAATAAAAGGCTAGCCATTTCTCAGCGTCTCTTCTGCATTCCAATATGGGAACATGAATAAATAATCCTGCCCGGCTATCTTAGGGGAGTTAAATATTAACTGCCTCGGCTGGTGCAAGGGAAATGAAATCAGTTAACAGTTTGAAGTCCATTCCTTGGAAGGAATCCAAGTGCGTCAGTGTAGCTGGGACTAAAGGGCACGGCAAAGACCGGACAGCTGTTCTATGAGTCAGGAAAACTAAAAGTTTAGGAGCAAGAAGCCCTCAGCACTCCGTAAACATGTAGGTGAAAAATAGAACACAGAATAGGAGGACTTGGAAGGCACCTTGAAGATCTTCTAGTCCAACCCTCTGCTCAAGCAGGAGACCCTATACCATTCTCAGACAAGGGGCTGTCCAATCTCTTTGACACTCTTCTTAAAAGCTTCCAGTGATGGAGGACCCACAGTTTTTTAAGGCAAGCCGTAACACTAGTTAATTGTTCCCATTGACGGGAAAGTTTTCCTTATTTCTAGGTTGGTTCTTTCCTTGGTTAGTTTCTTTTCCTGCCTTCAGGACCTTTGGAAAATAGGACCCCCCCCCCCCCCCCCGCCTTTGTGGCAGCCCCTCCAATACTGGAACGTTGCTATTATATCACCCCTGGTTCTTCTTTTTACTAGACTAGATATACCCAGTTCCTGCAAATGTTCTTCATATGTTGCTTAAGAATGCTGCTTAAGGAAAAACTGGGAAACTGAAGTCACCACAGGTAGTCCTCAACTTACAACCACAATTGGTACAAAAACTACTATTGCTAAGCAATGGAGTCATTGTAAGTTGTGTTCACTTTTATGGCCTTTCTACCATAGTCATTAAGTAAATCACATGGACTTTAGCAGATGTAGCTTCCTCCATTGACTTAGCTTTTGGAAAAGCTAAGGAAAGGGAAAGTCACAAATGGCAATCATACAACCCTCGGACATTGCAACTCTCCTGAAAATATACCTGGTAGCCAAATGCCCAAATTTTGATCAGAGGGACCACTGCAATGGTCACATGTGCGAGGACTGATCATGAGTCACTTTTTTCAGCACAGTGGTAACGTTGAATGTTCATTAAATGAATGATTGTTAGGGCTTAAAAGATCGATCTCAAGAACTTTAGAGCACTGAAGATCAGGAAAAACTACAGATAGTCTTTGACTTACAACCTCAGTTGAGCCCAAAATTTATGTTGTTCAGTGAGACATTTGTTAAGTGAGTTTTGCTCCATTTTACAACCTTTCTTGAAACAGTTAAGTGAATTACTGCAGTTGATAAGTTAGTAACTCAGTGATTAAGTTAAGCAAAGCCCCATTGGGGTTTGCTTGTTGGAAGGTCATAAAAAGGGGATCAGGACACAGCAACGGTCATAAGTATAAACCAGTCTCCGAGCATCTGAATGTTGATCACGTGACGGGGGGGGGGGGGTGCTAGAAAGGTTGTAACTGTGAAAAACAGTCATATTTCACATTTTTCAGTGCTGTTGTAACTTTGAACAGTCACTAAGCGAACTGTTGTAAGTTGAGGACTACCTGTATATGTTTTAGAGAGAAAGAAAAACAGACATCTCTACAC